CTTAGAACTGTCGAGAAAACGTATTCCCCTGAGAACTTCCATTTCGGATAGAGGGCTGATATCAGCTGATACGAGTTGCCCTGGGAATCTAGAGATTGACATACGTGATTTACCTGGGGGGAGGGGCTAGTTGAACTGAGCCTCGAAATGTTGTTCAGTCGTCGTTACTGACTGTGAATCGGTGTGCTGAATATTAAGTATGACGGCGCATAACACAAACGCGTTTAATTAATTAATTCGAGTAATTTAAATAGGATTTTTAAATCCAGGAAACAGCACGTAACGAGCTTAGTTTAAATATATTCTGCGAGATAGTGTCTTGATCATCCAGTGCTGAGTCGAAGCATCCCATCAATAATTTCCTGACTAACATTCGCTTCCATTTCTGGCGCACATGCTCGGACAAACAAACGCATTGATTCAGTTTCCAGTTGAAACATGTTCTGCTACGTGGTCTTTTCTACCTTTGTCTGGATTGCTTTACCCTGTCTGACTGTTGAGACATAACTTTGTCTAAATTTACAGCCGAATTTGCACCACATGATGTAATAAAGCAATTTCTGGATTTGAATTATTCAGTTAACGTATGAGCACCTGACCAAAAACATCAAAAGGAAAGGATAAATTATCAAGGAATACACTATAGTGACCGTGAGCAGTGGTTATGGCTCAATAAAGGCCGGTATCCCGTTGCTTTATAATTTGCTCATCCGGGTTCCACCCAGCTTCCTTATCGATTGATTTACTTCTGCTAGCTGTGGCCTTGCCGGACGCTGACCAAAGTTCACAACAGTTTAAAAAGTCCTTTCCGGGAATACTCGCTGTCGGAAATTATTCTGATTTAGCATGAGTATTTGTTGGTGTTCTGTCTGTGTTTACCTACACCTTTACTTCATTATGTTTACTTGTGTTTGCGATTTCGTAATCGTGGCAGTTAATGGTTTTTTGCTTGTCAGAGATGTTTACATCATTAAGCCACACATTTTATCCTCAGACAACCAGAACTGTTTTCGATTTGTGCTCCAACAGTCTAGTTTAAACTGCTACAACGTGCGGATTTCTACCTACAGATTTTTCGCACAGCCTTTTCATGCTTTTCTAGCTTTCGCAATTGGAACACCTTTTCCCTCTTGTTGATGCATCATTTCTTTCGCCGGCTGTGAGATGCTCCACTATAACCCATGCTAAATGGCGCCCTTTCGTGTGACACCACCGCAAGGCGTACATTTCTGTTTTGCATTATTGAACAAAATACCCTCCTCACTTTAAAGTTCGCCCGTTCTGCTGTGCATCACACTAAAGCCTATGACAGTAAGATTAGAATCCACTTCGTCAGGCCAACGACAATATTCATGTAACATCCTCCAAGTTGTTTCGTTGCACTCACTATAAATGGGAACCTGAAGTTCAGTCAATCACTTGCCGAATTCGCGGTTGTTTGTTTACAAGATTTTCCCTCTCAGTAAGCTGAACTGTATTACCTGCGGGATCATGACTCAGATCAGTCAGCTTAAGTTGGTTACACATTCTCTAATAATACATGAGGATGTTTTATATTTTTGTAGTTTTTAGGTGTTTATACTTCGAAATGTTTTCCACAGTATATAGTTTGTGAAGGCTATTTTCAGAAAGACATCGTTGGCCAATTCAAGGCTGCCTAAGGCAATACCAAATGTGGAAGGTAAGTCAAGGTGGTGCCACGCGAATACACTGACTCCGGTACTCCGTTATGGTGACCTTACGCACCTAACCACCTTCCTCCTTTATTGATCAGTGTGTTTGCTGATCAGACACTATCTTGCAGCTCCGCTCTCCTTATAACAATCGTTAGCGCCTTCGGTGCGGTGTTCAATCTCCAGAGTGCCTCACTTGTTTTTTATGGTGAAATACGTCTCACTCTTCGTTCGTAGGCTTGTTTCTCCTATCATGTTTTGTTTTTCACATCAGTTCCCTGCCAGTTCAACTCACTTCATCCTATCCTAATTGTTCGTATATGATCGATGAAACAGACCTCCTAACTGAATACGTTGTACATTAACTCCGTTCTTTTCATCTGTTCTCTTTCCGTCCGCAAATCGTCTTGTGAAGCTCACTCTTGCTGGTTATACTCACAAGCTGAGCTTACTAATTCGAAATATTGTAGACAAACTGATCCACTTTAGTGCTCCGACACCCGATCGATTTCGTTATTTACGTGAAGAGATCGGACGAGAGATAAAAAATTTCGATATGAAAGCTCCGTATCAGCAGGCGGGAATCTATCTCACTAATGTAATCTCCGATCATTCTTGGATCAACGAAGATTTAGCCAAAGCATTCCCCGGTAAGCTCATTGTTTCATTGCTATTTTTGTTTGATGATAATGAAATTTTGGTCCCATCCACTGCTGTAGTACAATCATTGGAAATATCTCATGGGTAGGGTGTATGTGGTGGATCAACAAAGAATATGATAGTAGAAAGACAACAATGATGTTGGTGGTCACATTTTTTAACATTCCATGAAATATTGACTGATTTAGAACGGTTCGCCAGCATTGGTCAATTGACAAACCCAATTGCAACGTGATTGAGACTTTTTCTGACGGTATGAGCTCTTGT